AAGGTCATTTGGTGTCTTAGTGGTTTTTGTTTTGGATTCCATTTGGTTTCTATGATAGATATTTCTGGAAGAGTTTGGGAAGACAAATCAAGATAATAGGAACAAAATCAAATCCAGAATTAAGAGGCACAGTTGTCTTCCCTGAATGAAGACAGGTTGCTTGCCCCCTGCAGGAACCAGTAAAGATGGTCGATTAGTGTTGCTTAAGTGCATTCTGTTAACTCTTAAGAGTTTCCTTGCACTCTGGGCCTGGGGGTGGCCTATAAATCTTTGTCCCAGGTTTGTTGTAAAATCTTGATTTATCTCTGTATAGGTGTGCTAACACATTTGTTAGCTTGAATTATTTAACATTATCGTGAAAAAGGCCTGATTTCTGTTGCTTGCCTTGATTTGCACTTTAAATATAGTTCCCTTTCTCCATTTGCCAAGATTCATGTTGAAAACAGAAAAGAGAAATTTACTTTTAAACAGTAGTTTGGCATATAAAAGCATGGTTTACCTTGGAGTCTTTCTCCATCTGCACATTAAGGCACCAACACCAAGGTTTGGAGAATGTTTTCCCTTTGTGAATCTGGAAATTAGCATTAAACTAAACAGCAAATATTGAGCTCCAGGTGGTCATTCCTGTGTGTTCCTTTGGTGGTGTTGGGTGGGAGGCAGGAATTGGGGGCTCCTTCCTACCTTCTCTCCCTTACTCTTTACCCTAGGTTCATAATATTAAATGTACAGTGTATATTTTATTTTTTTAAAAAAGCAGTTGACAGGTTTTAATAGTAAAGAAAAGTGAAGTCCATTGTGGCACTTTAAAAATATTAGACATTTTGTGAAGACATGAAGCTACCTATTAAGTCTTGTGACAACTTTTAGAATGAGAGTTATGTATAAATATAGTACTTTATGGTTCCCAAACTTCATATTATACTGTGATTTATGTAGCTTCTCTTTACATATTATATATCCCACCTTGATCACTTAATTAACATATCCTAAATCAGCATTCCTTTGAAATACAGAAATTTAAAAAAAGAAAAAAAAAGCAAGCACAATGATCTGTCTCTTTCTATTTTATGAAAATGAAGACATGTTAGAATTGTTGAAGGGGGGGACCAGCAGTTTCCTAGCTGACTTGCTAATTTTTCTCACTTTCCTCATCTGTTTCTATCTTTTCTCCTTCACTTCCATGAAACTGAGATTGGTTTGTAGGACTTCTGCAAATGGTTCATTATTTTAAGATTGGATTTATCAGTGGTGTAACATATTTTGTGTTTTCAAACTGTGTTTGGTTTCTTGGTGATTTCTTTTGTTTGATTTAGGTTAAGGAAATGTAAAGATAAAACCAACCAGTACTTTTTAAGAAAATATTCTTTTAATGGGGATTATTTTGCCATATGAGTTGTCCTTATGACTGATAATAACTGATACATTTCTTAGGCCTTTGCTCTATGTATTATATAATTTGTATCTGTCGTGGGAAAAGGCAGTTTTTAAATTTCACAGCAGAGTGATGGGAAAGAAATGTCAGGCTTTTTTTTGTTTTGTTTTAAAGGATTTAAAACATTCTAGATCTGTGTATTTTTGGATAGAGCTAGAATCCAATTTAACTTTAGCTCAGTTAAGCCTTGTCTGAATGAAAGAATTGTGTCTTGATTTCAATAAAAAAGGTTTGTAGAATTTGCTTGACTTATTGGCAATATCTTCCCAATATGTAATATTTATTTTAAGTACTTCTCTTGTCAATAATATTAGTTTTTTTTGCTTATGAAAGGTGATACAGTAATTTTAGATGCTTTCTCTGTCTTCTGGTCTACATTCTAAAGGCCAGGGCTTTTGTGTGGAAACACACCTCCATGCATTGCAAACAGTAAGGTGAAAGAAAACAAAAGTTATCAGATCATGTTATTGCAGATAGGTAAGTTAATTAGATATCTTGTAGGCAGTTAGACAGATCCACCCTCAAGTAGCCAGCCTTCAAGGAGCGAACACAAGGAGCCAACATGGAGGACAATAAAGACATTTTCACTGTGGCCAGAATTGTAAAAGGAGAGAAACTAATATACCCGTGTTCTTCGCCTGGGGAGAAATAACTGATTGATATTCTAAATATGTATCAATCACCTGGGTGGGGGGCCAAGGACTTAACCCTGCTTTCCAGGAAATTTCCCTGACCCCCACCCTTACTGAAAATCCTTGTATGCTTGCTCCATGACTTGCTCCTGCATTTGACCTCTGTTTATCTGGGTGACTACTTGTAATCTTATTGTCTGGTCATGGTTTTGCCTCACCTCATGCCCACCTTGTAAATTTCCTTAGGGTATTATAGTTTTGTCCCCCTTCGTACCCACCTCACCACATTCCTTGGCTGTATAAAACATCTTTGAAAGGTGGGGTGAGTGGGCAACCCACTTCCAGTCCCCTTTCTGTCTCTCTTAGACAGAAGCTTTCTTTCCCTCAGTAAATTTTTCCTACTCTTAACTTCCGTTCCTAGAATTCATTCTTTGATTTTTGAGAACACGAATTTGCATTTCAGATATCTAGCAGGTTTGGAAGTTACGTCTCTTTCCCCTATATCAATGTCACTGAGTCTGTTAAATTGAGAAAGTGATTTTACTTAATAAAAGAAACAGTTCTAATCCAGAGATCTTTGTCTGTGTTTGGAATAGGAATTCATTAGAGTAAGAGAGAAATTTTTTAAATCAAAGTCATGTATTAGTCTTTTTTTTCCCCATTGAGTTTATTGGTACATTTTAGGTATACAGTACAGTTACATTCATTACTGGGATCTTGTACCTTTATATGACAGGTCTTGGTTCTCATTTTTTCCCCTTGTCCCTGCCCTCTCTTCACCCCTCCTCCCTCCCCCTTTACAAACACTACATTTCCATTTCTTCATTTCCTCACATCTTTTTTTCTTTTCCCTTATTAGCTTTCAGTCTTAATACCCCACCAATCTCAGAAAATTCTGTCTTCTGAGATTGTGTGGCATTAAGTGATATTAAAATGTTCTTTCCTTGAATGATATTATTTATTTTTAATGCTGGAGATGGATCCCAGGGCCTTGAGCATGCTAAGTTCTACCACTAGGCTACACTCCTAGTTCTTGATGTTTATTAAATAATTGTTTTTCATATCTTCTTCAAGATTTTATTTATTTATTTATTTATTTATGGTACCAGGGATCGAACTAACGACCTTGCTGTGCTACTGAGTTAAATCCCCAGCCCTTCAAGATTTTAAATGTGCATATTATATTGGAAGTAAATGAAATAAAAGAAAAATCAAAGTATATATACCCTGAAGAAGAATAAAAATGGTGTTTCGGATTAGATTTCTCCTTTCTTCTTAGAACTTGATGATTTGGACTTTGCTTTTCCTGTGTATGTGTAAAAAGCATAGAACATAGATTAGGCTCTAGCGAAACAGTTTGACAGAAGCATAACCTCCTTTCTGCTGGGCTGGTGCTGTCCAGTGTGAAGAAGAGGCAGCCCTTCAGCAACGGGAGCTTAGGACCTAGAAGAAGAGTTGAATACTCATTTAGTGTTATTGAGCTCCTTCTGTGTGCTAGCTATGTTCTTGATGTATGAGACAGTCAGTAAAACTATGTTCCTGCCCTTATGGAAATAGAATAAACCGTTAAGATGAACAATAGACAAATGAGCATATATATCAGTTGGTGTTAAATTCTCAGATGCAAAATAAAGCAGAGTGAGGGAGGGGATAAGAGGCATGTGGAGTTGGGATTTACTTTTTTAGATGAGGTGGTCTCAGGGAGGCCCCTCATTCTATCTGCTTTTATCTGAATCCCTCATGCTTTCGGTTTATTTGGCTTACATTTCAATCTTGCCCTGCCTTTTGAAATGTCATTCTGGAAATGGAAACGATTTAACTGTGTTAGTCATTTGCTTTTTAGTGTGGATATGTTTTAGATTATTTCCTTTGAGCAAATGTTAAAGGAGAATTTGAGGCAGTGGATGTCTGGGCATGGGAAGGGATTAGAGAGCAGGGATCCAAATTGACGGGAGTTATTCCTGCATCCGAGTGGGGTCTGCTCTGTGCCCCAGGAAGCCCCACACTGATACTTCTTGAACTCCATTGTGGTTCCCTGGTATGGCCTTTCCAACCCTTTCAGTGCATTCTTCCTCCAGGGCACTGGCCATTTACTTGTGAGAATGCTAATTGCAGAAAAGGAATCCTTTTGCAATGCTTTCTTCTTGGCTCTTGAGGAGAAATGCACTGTACAATTAAGGTGTTATGTTTATTAAATCTTCCTGTTTGGCTTATTTTGCTTTATATTTTCAAAGTGTTACTGTCACATTGTTGTTATCATTTTTAATGCAGACTAAATGTGTCTGTAGGAAGATCTTTTTCTGTTTATGGGCTCTGACTCAGAACATTAAATTGTTCTGAATGGGGAAGATGTTAATTCTTCTTGCTTTCCTGCCTGTCATCTTAGTAGGGTTTTGTAAACTTTCCCTGCTATCCCCCATCCCGTGTATCAGCAGGGTCTGCACTCCCCAAGCTTGCTCCAAATTTAGTTCTCTTGCCTGCCAGACTTTGGTAATGATGGTGAGGGTGAAGATTTATTTTTGGAAATTGGAAATTCTTGGGAACTTCCTCTTGCTTGAGAACGTATTATTAAGGTTTCAAAGAAACATTTTAAATACATCTTTATGTGTGTGTGTGGTTTATATAAATAGACACAAATGGCATATAGATATATTAAATTCTTTGATGTAGTATTTCTTTTGCTTTGTAGCCAAAGCATGTTGACTTTATGTTGATGAATAAATTTGGATCTGAGATGAAGAAAACCAACAATATTAGTTTAAAGCAATGCAGCTGCTTAGAAATGGCAAAATGTGTCTTGTTAAAGTATCTTTTTCCCCTCATTATTGGCAGAATAATTGAATGTGAGAATGAGCCTAAATTGCTAATTTTAATGGAAAAATGTTCCTTTCTTTCCTTCAGCTTTTGCTTTTGTGTCTGAAGATATAAAGAAAGAAGTCAAGAGAACTCAGGTACTAATTCTAATGCCCTAATTCCTCTCTCCTCTCCACCTTTTGAGATTCTGTCTTTAATGACAACTATAAATATTTCATCCTTTTGCAGTTAGCACATTTTCTTTTTTGGGTTATATGACTTGATTTATGTTTCTCAACACAGATTTTGAAGCTCTTAAAAGGAACCTATAGATTTGCTTTAAAAATAGTTTAATACCTTTACTAGTTACCCTTAGTAGTTAAAGCAAATTGGCTAGATTTTAAAATTATTTTAAGTAAGAATAAAGGTGTTTTGACATAGAGGTAGACATTTTAGAAATCTTGCTTGGGTACCACACTTGTTTCCATTCTAACCAGATACTAACCTTGGGCTTAATTTTCCCCACCTGTGAAAAGATGTTGCTATGTCACAGGAGTTATAGCAACCTGATTAGTGTCACCTTGAAGGTGGTACCCTGTGGGAGGGTACAGTGGGGTCAGATGCAAGCCCCAAAGGTGTTCATGCTGTCAGATTCTTTGTTTGCTCAGAACCAGCAACTAGACCTGGATTACCAGAGCAGCAATTCCCAAATCTTAGAGTTGCTTCCTTTTGACCTTTGCTTGTGTTGAAGAATTTATCTAATGTTTTACCATTTGGGCTTTGCATAGAATTGGCTTAGGATATAGAAGAGAAAAAAAAAACACTTTAAAATATGACTTGCTTTTATCGTATTAAGGCTCTGTTGACTCTTGTTTTACTCCACAATTGGTTTAAAAGCATTTATTAGTAGGATGTTTCTTTTATCAGTGGAATATTATCCATTCTTACCATACTAGCATATTTCTTCACAGGGAAAATGATAATAATAATTTCTTATGATTTTAAGACCTTTTATGACTAATAAAGCATTTTTACACATTTCATTTAATTCAGTCTTCTCAATGATGCTATTATTATAAAGCAAAACAGATATTCCCAGTTACAACAGAAAATTTAGCCTTACAGAATTTAGGTGATTTTACTAAGGTTACAGGATTATTAAAAGATTAAGTTAAAGTTCAAACTTTCTGAACCCTTTAATTTTCACCCTGTACTATTTTATGTTACCCAGCCTTGTGTATTACGTTGTGTTTGGTAATTATGGGGATTATTTATGATAAAATTAATATGCTACCTAAGGGTGGTTAAGAAAGAATTAAAATTTTCTTTAATGAGTTATATTCATGAATGAGATACATAAGGTGAGTCCTGTATGTTATTGTCATTTTCCATGTGAAGGTATTAATGCACTTGAGGGATATTAACTTAGACATAGTGCACTTGAAAGATATTTTTAGGTCCCACAGTCATAGTAGCTGTCAGTCCCATGAGGAGAGGAAATGATACCATGTCTACTGTATAATCAGTGTATATGAGATGGGAAGATGAGAAGAATCAGTTTGTCCAGAATCTGAAGTTAAACTGGAGATAGAATTTAAGGCTTTGAACATTGACCATATTAGTTTTCAGTTCATCACCTGGACAGAATTGATCAGGGCTTGCCCTGCTGTTGTTATCCCAAGGCAGCCACTTCACATCATGCTTGCCTTACTGAAAGACTCTATGCGAGGCTTCTGTTTAGTGTAGGCGAGTCCTGTCAGGGCTGAGTTTCTGCCCCAAACAATACGCAGTCTCACTGGTTGGCATTGTGTTTGGCTCCCCATCAAACTCCTGCGTGTTTCCTGTTGTGCTGTGTTCCTGAAGTGCTGCTTGTTCCCTGATGTGTGATGGCCTTTGCCAGGTCCTGGTGTCTGGCACTGTCCTGTATTCTGACCTGTGGACAGCTTTCAGGGGGGTTGCTCATCCAGGACTGTACTCCAGGCGATAGGTATCATCTTAGCAACAACCATGCATCTATCTTCAGACTGCACTATTGCCTGCGCTTACGTCCTGTGGTTTCTTGTGTTCTTGTATCCTGTGTGACATAGAGTTAAGCTGGACAATTGAATTAAAGAGCCATAATTCATCTCTTCCTTGCTGACCAGTTGTGGAACTTAGTGACCTTCCATGTGACTCAGTTGTTTGTCTGCAAGATGGGGTAATGAGACTTTGCTCAAAGGGCTCTTTTAGAGATTCAGTGTGTGTGTGTGTGTGTGTGTGTGTGTGTGTGTGTGTGTGTGTTTACAATTTAGAACAGTACTAAGTCCTAATCAATTGTTTATCTGATAACAAGAAATGCCATAGGCATTTCAATAGGTTGCATAAATCATCTGTTCTATCTAAATGAAGTGAAAGACTTCATTTTTTTTGTCAGTTAAATTTCTTTTGTAGTGATAGTTGACTACATAGAAGTGATTGATGATGATGATGATGAGAATAGGAGCCCAAAATTATTTTGCTTCTGCTTTGTATACACACTTTCAGCATCTTATTATCTTATAACACAACCCTGTGCTATGGGTCCTGGATTATTATTCCTATTTTAAAAATGAGAAACTGAAGCCTGACCTAGTAGGTAGATGAGGCAGAATTGGAACACAGGGCCAGCTAGCAACTCAGTGCGCTGATAAGAACACATCTGGGTTAATTTATTCAAAATTTAGAGAGTCATGATGGTGCCTTGGTAGAAGATGGCATTTAATTCTCTTCCTTGTTGAAGATTTCACAACAAATTCTTTTGAGCACGCTGAATATTCTTTTTATGAAGAACTTAATGAATTAAGCATTACATATTCAAATTGCAAGTGTTCAAATCTATTGTGGCTTAAAAAAATCAAACTCATGTAAAAGAATGACTTGTATGTGTCTTTCTGGAGAGGGTAGGAGCTGCCTGTGGGTTAGATACATTAGTGACAAATCTTTTTCCTATCTGAATAGCATTTTAGCTACTTACACAGCCTTGACAGTGAGCACATTTTGATTAATATTGATAGTGTGAGAAACATGTGGCAGCAGAGATAATAAAACAAACAATGTGTTTCTTCTTAGGAAGAACTAAACCTGTTCACAAGGGAAGCTGAAGACAGAATTTTAAATGTTCTGTCAATTCCTTCATTTAGTCTAATTTTCTTTTTCAGGGAGGAAATTACTCAAGACCATTGTGGTTCTGTTTCAGTTCACCTAATTCAACTGTTCCTTGGATATTTATTTTTACAGTTTACAAATTGAGTCATTTGAAATAGCTAGTCATTTCCTAGGTATTGTGTTAGCCAATCTGAGCTGCAGTGCTTAATAATAGATTTATAATTTTGGTTGCATTTCTTTTATTTCACACAGATATCTTATTTTATTTCACAAAGATAAAGTCCAGCTACTCTTCCAGCTTGTTGAAGTTACTCAATTTGGAAACACCAAGGTCCAGATATTTTTCATCTTTCAATTTATTAATTAAAGTGACTTTTGTTATAGCTGTTACTTTTAGTTTATTCTCAAACTATGTTTACATCTAGAGAATACTCTTGTAAGGCTGGGTATGCATTAGCACCATGGTGTAAAAAAGGAGCATTGCAGAGGACTCGAATACTTTAATTCTGATTTTGTGGTTGATGACCATTGTGCCCTGGGAAAATCCTTTATCTTTCTTAGATAAACAATTGTCTTCTTAAAAAGGGGAGCATGTTGGATTTAACCATCTCCAGTGCTGTGTCTGGATCTAAAATTCTATTTTCCTGTGGGTCTTACCGAGAACAGAACCTGTGGCCTCCCAAAGAGCAAGCAGTGTGGGCAATGGGCGGGGTAGTAAGTTGATGGTGGGAGCCAGTTGGGCCCTCCTGCTGAGACCAGCACCCCTGCCTTGAGGGCAGGTGTTTCTCCATGTCAGATGTGGCATTTAGAGTACAGGTGTTACAAGGAGTCCACTCACACTACCTTATGATGCTAACTTGGTTTTGACTCAGGACATTCAGCAAGGGCTGGGATTTCTATCAGTGGGTTCTTCCAAAAGTTACATTTTATCAAGACTAGTGAGTGTCCTTATATCTTGAGAGCCAACAGATCACATGTAACTACTCAGTGAGATATCTACTCTTAAGACAAAGATAACATTTCATAAAATGTCTCTCTAGGTAGTTATTCTACTTTGTTTAGCTCTCTTTCCCTGTCTGTTGTCACAGTCCTTTTGGCACTCTCAGAGAACACATCTTTTTGTGGCTGTGTCTTTCAAATTGCTCCCAATTTTATTGCTAAAGGCTTGCAACAACATTTCTTTTTGTAGTCTGTGAAGAAAATTGAAGGATATTTGCCACTATCCAGTTGTCGAAATTACAGTATAAGGTGTTGAAAACAGAAAAGGACAATTAGGAAGAAAACTCCTTCCTCATCTGCAGAAAAGACAAGAGATTTAGGTGCTAATACCTTATACTTGTGAGAACATTTTTGAAACCTCTTGAAATATACAAGGTCAGAATATGCCTATATTCCAGATGGCTGTGTCAGCAGCTTGCCTGCTCTGAGGTGTGCATTTGGGGCCCAAGTTCTAGTGACTGTGTGTGCTGCTGTAACAGAATAACTGAGGCTAGGCCATTTATAGTTTATGAGGTTTGTTGTTATATTGGAGGCTGGGAGGTCCAAGGTGGATAGGCCAGCATATGACAAGGGCTTTTTTTGCTAGACTCATCCTATGGCAGGGAGAGCAAGAGTACAATATGTGCAAGAGAGCAAGAGAAGGCTAAACTTTGATTTATAACAAGCCCATGCTCTTGAGAATAAACCCATTTCCACAGTAAACCCATCCATGAGGGCAGAGCCCTTGTGACCTGATCACCTCTTAAAGGTTCCACCTCTCAGCACTGCCTCATGGGGATAAGGTTTTCAACACATATTTTGGGAAACACCTGCAAGCCATCAATGACTGACCTCTTCTGAGCCCCTGAGCAGATTCCTAGGGCTGCTGTCCAAGGTGAAGAGAACACAGTGCTAATATTCCTTTTAAGTTTTATTTTTTTAATGTTATTTGTGTGTGTTTGCAGTACATAATAGTTACATGTGTTTTGGGGGAAATGGTACATATGTTATAGCATATCTTGATCATTTTGATCTCTTTACTCTCTCTCCTTAACATCTGACCTCTCACTGATCCCCTATCCCATCTCCCCAATGTCCTTATTTCCCAGCATCTCTCTCCTTTATTAATTTATAGTTTAGATATCTTACATAGGAGAATATATGTGATATTGTACTTTGGTTGTTGTTGTTGTTGTTTGAGACAGCATCTCACTATGTAGTTCAGGCTTGAACTCATTATGTAGCTCAAGCTAGCCTTGAACTCACTACATAATCTAGGCTAGACTTAAACTTGTAGCAGTCCTCCTGCCTCAGCCTCCCAAGTGCTGGGTGTGTGCTACCATGCCCAGTCAAACTCTACTTTCTGTGCCTGACTTATTTCACTTAATGTTATAATCTCAGGGTACATCCATTTTCCTACAAATGACTCAAATTTATCTTTTTTAATGACGATTGTGTACAAATACCATATTTTCTTTATCTATTCATTTATTGATGGACATACTGTGTAGGCTGCTTCCAAGATTCGGCTATTATGAGTTGTGCTGCTACAACATGGATATACATGTATCGTTGTAATGTTTTAATTTTTTCAGGAAGATACCTAGAAGGAGAATGCTGAGCTAAATAGAATTTCTAGTTTTAGCTTTTTGAGGAATAATTTCTTTACAAAATTATTTCCAAGCTTCCATCTTCAAGTTCCTCGAAGTGTTAATGTATATTGTGCATATTTATTCACTGTACTGCTAGCTGTGTTATGTGATGTGATTTTTTCTTTTTCTTTCTCATTTCTAATGCAGGATTTGGAGAAAAGTGTTATATCAAGAGAAAATCACATAAGTAAGTAATGTTTTTTTTTTTTTTAACTGAAGAGTGTGTACTCAGGTGTATTTGTTGTAAATTATATTTCACTGAAGTACATTTTTCTTTCTGATATTATTTATGGGATAAATTCTCTTGTCCAAATTCTTGTTTTGGGGCCAGCCCAACATTTATTATCTGGAAGACTGAGAGAAAGCACTTTGCAGACTGGCATATTGACCTGTGATACATGTTAGAAGAAGCAGCTTTCAGTGAGGGTAAAGTACCATGCTAGGTAGACACCGTAGAGGATACAGAGATGGGTATGAACCAGTCCTTCTGATTATGGGTGGAATTAATCAATTTTCAGACTCTAAACAAAATACCAGAGGTTGGGTATTAACAAAGAGAATAAATTTATTGAGCTCCACAATCAGAAGGCTTCCTGTCCAGAAGGTTCTGTCTCTGGCTATATCACACCATGGCAGGTGACATCATGGTGGAATTGTGTGTGAGAGTGAGATCACATCGTGAAACAGCAAGCTGAGAGAGTCAGTTCAGGCTCACTGTTTAGAACAGCTCACTCTTGGAACTAAGCAAGGTCCCATGAGAAGTATGTTAATCTCTTCTGAGGACAGTACCCTTGGTGATGTAAGCCCTGCCACTAGGCCCTACCTGTGAAAGGTCCCACCACCTCCAGCATTGTCACACCGGGGGCCTTTTAGGGAACACTCGCATAATATCCAAACACTTAGTGGGCGCAAAGGACAGACTGGTGTTCCTGGAGCTGGGCTCCCCACCCCTTGACCTGTAGACCCCTGTCTGCCCTTTAGAAGTTAGACCAGCAGTCTTATCTATCAGACTCATACTGAGGCCCCCTTGGGAGCTGCTCTTTTCTCCTTTGAAACATCTTCTGTTGCAGTCCATATATACCATTATTTGTACTCCTTTCTAAGCACATTTCTCATGTACATAGTGCAAGCATCATGGGTTAGTCCTTCTCAGTGCCATTGGAAATATGCCCCAATGTGTTGATGGAGAGTTAAGGCCACACCACTGTGGGCAGGATTGTGTACTTCGTCAGTGGCCTTCATCCCAGGGTAGGCACAGAAACCTGGATGGTGATCTTTGGATGAGAGGGAGAAGGCACACTTTTCTTTCTCAGCCTTTCCTCCCTGAGCCTGGATTTTGAGGGATATAGAAGTTTAGGAGAGCACCCTGTCCTACACTGTAGGACCTATCTGGAGACACAGGGCTCTGCAGGGGTCCATGTGCTCTGAGAGCAGCTGTATTTAAGGGGTCATATCTGTTCATTGCCTTTTCTTTTCTTGGTTACAACACCCTGTGTGTTCAGTCATTCCTTTCCATGAAATAATGTTTCTCTTGGCTATCAACCTTGGTATTAGGCATTTATTTGAATGTTAGTTTTGTGGCAGCTGATTGGTCTTCTCATACTACACAGTTATTAAATGATTTAATGAACCCAGTCTGGAATATAGGCTTGAAACCAGCCAGGGAAAGTTACCTTGGACAAGTAAGTTTATTTTGCAAATGCAGTTGCAAATGGCAAGTAATAGTGATGCCTAATTTGGTATCAGTTCATTTGAAAAAGATCTAGGTGCCTCTTTGTCTTGGTCCTTGTGTGCATCTACAGAAGCAGTAGGCTGCTAAAGTGCTGATGCAGTTACATCACAGTGTAGGCAGTAAGTCAGAGTCCCTCAACCACGGGCTCACAGTGCTCAGGGATGGGCCACCAAGATCACCTTCTTTTTCTCTTTCAGCTTATTGCCTAATTGATAGATTCACTGGTGTTCAATAACTCTCACCAAGGAAGATAGAAGTGGGGTGGCTTCTCTGATGTGGATGTCTATATGCATATTTATCCCTCAGCTTTAAATCAGAAAGCTGCCTATTACTCACCTTCTATCAGAAGAATCTGTATTGATTTCTCATCAGAAAAATGCCAGCATGATCCTTTTAGTCCCTTTCTGATCAGGAGGATTAGCATTTAGTAAAGTGCTTGGCCCCTTGTGGACACTCAGCAACTAAGCCAGACCTACCTTATTATTTTCTTTTACCTCCAAAGAGAAATAGTTTTTCTTTCAGTCGCCCTTTTCTTGCTCCTCAGTGTTCTGTTTCTTGCCTGAATGTTCTCTGCAGCCCACTGCCGGCTAAGCATTGAGTTGATCCTGTCTGTATCCTAGACTCATTTCTTTATCTTTGTCTCTAGCCTGCCACACTGATCATTGTTGTCAGGCACTCTTTGTGCAGCCCCTTTATTGTACATTCCTGAAGGAGAAGCAGGATGATCTGTCTTGAGTTTCGGCAGTGTTTGCTGAAGGCAATTGCAGTGAGTTTAGAGAAATGCAACCAAGACATGAAGGAGAGTGGAATTATCTTATTTAGCTCCATCGACTAGGCAGTGGGAGCTTGAGAGTCAGATTGCTTGGTGATATTAACAGAAGAGGGCTGAGATGAGCTCTGGGATCTGGACTTGGCCTGAGTGATTCAGTTGATATATATGACTTAGGTCATATATCAAAAAACATTTCTTTTTTTTTTTTTTTTTTTTTTTTTTTTTTTTTTTTTTTTTTTTTTTGGTA